TTTTTTTACATTTCCACCTGGAATTGATTTTTGTGTTTCCCATGAGGTATGAGTCGGGTTTCATTTTCCTTCTCAGATGGATAGCCAATTGATTTAGCACCATTTATTAAAAAAGATAATTCTTTCCACTCTGCAGTGCCATCTTTGTCAGAAACGCAGCCGTCTATGTGTGTGTCTGTTTCTGGTTCTTTCTAGTCTGTTGGTCTATTTGTCTATCCTTGTGGTTGCACCATGCTGTCATAACCATAGTTTTACAGCAAATCTTCTTATCCAGTGGAGACTCCTCTTTTTTCATTATTTTTGCTCCCTCAGGAGCCTTTTTAGGCCTTTTCTCCCCTTCCCTCTATGAAATTAAATACTAAGGAATAAGATTTTGTCAGGTAGGATTGATTTGTGTATGGCCACAAAACTATTGAAATAGGTGATTTTTTTTTTCCCCTAGAAGCACCAGTTTTCTCCCTCCTTTGGGGGCCATATTACTTATATTGAGAATGCATGCAATAAACCAAACCCTCCCACCATTTTCTTTTTATATAGGAGTGGTATGGTATTTGTTGTGTTTTGTTTGTTCCCATGAAATTTAGATACAGCTTACTTAGCAATTTGTACAAAGAAAAGTAACCTAAAGTTTAAAAAAATTAAAAAAAAACCCGTATAGTTCACCATTAGTAGACTATATGCTCTGCCAGTGGGGATTTTTATTGGAATTGTATTAATTTTATCCATCAGTTTGGATAGTTGACATCTTTAACAGTACTGAGCTTCCTGATTGTAAGCATAGCATAGCTCTAAGAAGAAAATTGCTTCAGGAGGAAATTGGAAACAGGAGGAGTTCTGTAACCATGAGTGAGTGGTTAAAACTTGTGCAAGAAATATCCACAGATTTATCAGTGAGTTCTACCTCTGTCCAATATGAAAGGAAACAATAATTCTAGTCTTATACAAACTCTTTTAGAAAGAACAGAAAAAGAGGGAACTCTCCCCAACTCGTTTTAGGTGTTTAGCATATGTTAAATACATAACTTATCAAAGATAATGAAGAAAGAAAGAAAATTATAGACTAGTCCGATTATGAGCATAGATAAACAACTTCTACACAAAATATTAGCAAACTGAATCTGGATATATAGGTAACCAGCCTTATCCAGTTGTGTTTATCTTAGACATGAAAGGCAGTTTTTACATTAGAAAATCAGTATTTTTATCACATTAACAGATTAGAAAAAAAAATCATGTGTATGCAGACAACTATTTAGACAATAAAATTAATAGCAAACCATTTATAATAGAAACAGAAAGTTCCTGAATTAAATATGGCCAAAAAGTACAAGACCTGTGGGAGAAAAATATGAAGCTTGACAGAGAGAGAGAGAGAGAGAGAGAGAGTGTGTGTGTGTGTGTGTGTGTTTCTGATTGTGTGTGTAACTTGAAAGACTAATGAAATTTTTTCTGAAAATACAGATGGATATCCATATAATAAAAGTAAATTCAGACCCCTATATTGCACTGTGCAGAAAAAGAATAAACATCAGTTCCAGATGGATTAGTGACCTAAATGTGAAAGGCAAAGCTACAGAGCTTTTAAAGGCTTTGGATGATAATGTAGGAGAGTGCTATTAGTACCTCAGGATTAGGAAAGGCTTCTTAAACAAGAAATAAAAAGCACTGAAGGAAAAGATTGATACATTGGTCTACATTAAATTGAAGCCCTTGGAGTTATCAAAATATGCCATAAAGACAGTGAAAAGGTAGACTTAGTGTGGAAGGCATCTGCAATATACAACTAAAACTTGGTCGTATCCAAATGGCAGGAACAGTGAGTCAGTAACCTTTACCTTCAGGTAGGGATGAGGGAGAGAATGTGATGGGGAGGGAATGCACAGATGAAAGCTCTGTGTGCTGTCACGTGTTCTCATTCTTGAGAGGATGGTGTGACTTTTCTCTAAACTGAACTTACATCTTCTGCATTTCCTGGATATAAGCACATCTCTTAACAAAAAGTGGGGAAAATGAAAACGATAAAGGAATACAGTTACAATATCCGTTTGCTAAGGCTGCCGTAACAAGGTGCTGCAGACTGGAAGGCTTACCCAACAGAAACTCAGTTTCTCGTAGTTCTGGAGGCTGGATATCGAGGAGCCTGAAGTCAGCAGGTTGGGTTTCTTCGGATGCCTCTGTCCTTGGCTTGCCTCTGGGCCACCTTGTCGCTGTGTCCTCACATGGTCTTTCCTCTGTGCGTGAGCATCCTGGTGTCTGTGTTTCTTGGTTTCCTCTTATAGGTACACCAGTCAGATTGGATTAGTGCCACCCTAAGGGACTTGTTTTAACTTATTCTCCTCCTTAAAGGCCCTGTCTCCAAAGACGGTCACATTCTGAGGTACTAGGAATTAGGACTTCAACATATGGATTTAGGGGAAGACACATTCAGTCATAACACTGAATATGTAGGAAAGATCTCGAATAGCACACGGGTTCTTGTGATTTGGATAAAGTTTTCCAAGCGAATTTTTAGATCCCAAAAGTGCTACATCAAAAAAAAAAAAAAAATCTAAAATAAAGTGAAGATGTTATGCTCTGAAGAACTTTGCTAAATGACCAAGATTTGGATTTAGTACTGAACATGTTAATTATGTGTGTGCAATCTTGGAATGCAGTTGTGTTTTGAAAATGTTAAGAGTGATAAAAAGAAATTTCTCAAAGTATTTTACTGTTTTACACGAATACTCTTAAATCCAAATGTGCAACCTGTGAATAAATGTAATATTAGCGTTAGATCTTTTAATCTCATCATCCCCAACATTTATAAATTCTAGCTGGCAAAATTTGTTTAAAAGCTTTTCACTGGGGGAAGAGAAGATGCTTTTTATTTGGTCATATATGGTATTTTTATTACACCAAGCTCTACTGTAACACCATATGTGCATTTCTGAAGTTCACCCTACTATGCAAAATTATGCAGTGAAAACCACAGAGCTTATGGAAAGAGGGAGGCACAACACTCAGAAACTTTGTCAGTGACACTCAGAAGGGTCAGAACCTAATAAAATCAGCAGCACGGTTTCACACCTGTTAAATAGTTGAGAAATACACAAATACGATACTGAACTTGACACTTAAGAAGAGAGACCTGCTGTGTTGGTGTGGCAGCGGGCATCAGACAGGTTGCTGTAAGTGATGGAAGGAGGGTCATCTGAAACCTGAGGGGAAGTTGCAATAGCAGGTGTGGGTGAGTGCGGCCCCTAACACAGACGGTCAGTTGCGGTGGTCACTAGGTGTTCGGGAGTCTGCATGCGTTTTGTGTATACCCGCAGGCCTTCGTTTAGCTGGGTGCAGTCTTCCATGTTCATTTAGGGTTTCTCGTGGATGAAGTCACACACAAGTAACACAGAATTCTCGCTGTGCTCAAGTTGTCGTTTCATGTACTGACCACGTTGGAACAAATTTGTGTTTTCAAACAGCGGTAGAGCAGAACTTCCTGCATGGAATTTCTTGTATCGTGCATAGCTCCATCTTTTCATCGTCCATGATTTGTAAGGACTCTGTGTCAGGCTCTTCTCAATGAGCATTTGAAATGACTGCCTGATTTCAGACTGCTGTATGAACTGAGTGGTTTGGGTATAGACTCCGATTTCTGCTTGAGTCTGGTGGGTGGTCATTGTGCTACACCGAAAAGCATCAGTTTTTTTGTTTCAAGCAAGCTCCTTATGTTCGGTGACCTCCTTATTTTTGATGTCGCTACCAGGATACCCATAAGCCTGAACCTGATTCAGTGTTAAAAAGGCATGTGGGTGGTTATGTTTTGGGGGGTCCTTCCGTTCATCTGTTGCTTCTGTCCACTGTGGAAGTATTACTGCACAGCTTAGCAGCGGGAGGTTTCCAGAACTCCCATCTCACTGCTCTGGTCTGTCTGCTTGGTTACAGAGAAAATGAAGTGCTTCTTGTTTTCCTGTCTTTCCACCACTTTCTTGGGTTCACTTTTGAGACACTCATTTTTATGCCGTGAGCCAGGAAATCAGCGTTCCCTCACAGCATTTACATTTCTCCTTCCTGTCTAGGCATTGCTTGGTGTTTCCACAGTCTTCTGCATGCATCCCTGTTAGAGCATAGATCACACTGTTTGGAGTTTCATGAAGTTGGCTTCTCTCTCTAAATAAGCTGCAACTTTTTCAGGGCATGAACCATATCTTTCTCGTTTTTACTTTTTTCTGTTACTTAGCGCCGCGCTTGGCAGTGGTAATCGAGTGGATGGATGGATGGATGAAGTAGGCTTAAAGAGAACTTTTCCACAAGATCCCATCATTAATATTTCCCCCTTGTTTTGACTAAGTGACATAATCTCGGCTATCTTGGTCACCTGAACTTCAATACTATGAATCAGGCTTGTGCATTCAACTCTTTAGAAGTATAATAATAAAATTTCCTTTTGTGTAACCAAAGATTGTACACTGTATGTTTTGTTTGTGTTTTTTGGAGGTTTTTGTTTTCTTTTGGTTTTTGCTACAAACGGTAAATAAGTGTGGCTAATTTGCAACTTTAAGATTGAGGTTTTTCGACATGAGAGCAGTAAAAATCCCATTTTTTGGCATGCTACTATAAATTAAAAGCAATTATTTTTGAAATTTTCAAATATTTATATAGTGACTAAGTGGAGCAAACTCAAAAGGGGGAGAGTATTTTTTAAGATAATAAGGAGCAATGTTATGGGTTAATTCTTTTTTTTTTTTTTTAAAGATTTTATTTATTTATTTGACAGACAGAGATCTCAAGTAGGCAGAGAGGCAGGCAGAGAGAGAGAGGGAGGAAGCAGGCTCCCCACTGAGCAGAGAGCCCGATGCGGGACTCGATCCCAGGACCCTGAGATCATGACCTGAGCCAAAGGCAGAGGCTTTAACCCACTGAGCCACCCAGGCGCCCCTTATGGGTTAATTCTTGAATGTTACTGAAATTATAAGTAACTTTTCAATTTGTTTTTAAGTCTTTCTTTTTTCTTCTTCTTATAGGACCTCTTTGTTTTTAGACATGAATTGGCCATAATGAGACTAGCTGCCTTTATGGGCATTACTATGTTAGTTGGGATAACGGGACTTTTTTATACTCAACTAATTGGCATCATCACAGTAAGTATATTTTTTTAATGTAATGTATTTATGAACACATTTCCTAATTATGAACCTAATCCTAAGTGACAGAAAGTTTAGATATTAAAGGAGAAAATTACCACATAGTCATTTATATATTTTCATTCCCATGTGCCTGTGTAATTTTAAAGTAGTGATAATCAGTGTACAGAGTATATATACTGTTTTGTTTCCTGCTTTTAAAAATTTGCATATTCTATATGGCTACAGACTCCATGTTTATAGTTTTTAATATTTGGATATACTGTTTAGTGACTATACCATATTTTAATTAATAGTTTTCCTGTTGATCAGCATCTAGTTTGTAATCTTTTTTTCTATATTACAAATAAGACTACTTTGAACATCTCTTTTTCCTCTTGAAACTATTTAAGACAATTTAAGATAAATTCCAAAAAATGGAGTTGCTGGTAGAAACATTTTATTAGTAATTGGGTCTTATTGTTATTTTTTTTGCATGCATTTATTAGCAAAGTAGGATTTATCACAACAGAGAAGTTCAAAAAATGAGAAAAATTACGTTGAGTAAGGATGTGCAAGTTTGGTAATATGCTGCATTATAGAAGATGTAGGTTAAGGTTTTCTCCTACATAGTTGATGGGAATAAATTGGCATAATCTTTTTGAAAGGTGAATTGTCAGTGTGTATCAGACCTTAAAACTCAGTCCTTTTGGTCAACCTCTACACATTTGTTTTATAGAAACTATTTGTTGACATGTGTAAATAAGCATGTATGTTAAAAAAAGATCCCCACTGTTATATTCTGTATAGCATATGTATTGTATATGTAAACATAAGTGTTTATCAGAATATGTTCAGTGAAAACAATGTATAGCAAGAAAAAAGGGTGATCAAAACTTACTATGAGGTAACAGTAATCAAGAAAGTATGCTACTGACACAAGGATACACGTATAGATAAATGACCTAGAATTGAAAGTCCAGAGATGTATGTACAAATAGTCAATTGATTTTCAACATGAGTGCCAAAGCTATTCGCCAGGGAAAAGAAAAGTCTTTTCAATAAATGCTGCTGGGATAACGAGATATACACATGCAAAAGAATAAAGTTGGGCCCTTACCTCACACCATATACATAAATTAACTAAAATTGGATCGTGGACCTAAATGTAGGATCTAAATTATAGAACTCTTGGAAGAAAACATAGGAGTAAAATTTGGAGTGGGAAATAGTGTCTTAGATACGACAAGAAAATTACAACCAAGAAAAAATGGATAAATAAAACTATAAACTTTTGTGTTTCAAAGTACATGATCAAAAAGTGAAAAGACAGCTCATGGAATGGGAAAGAATATTTGTAAATCCTCTGTCTGATAAGGGGCTTTTTAAAATCTAGGATAGAGAACTCCTATAACGCAATACTAAAAACCAGCCTAATTAAAACATGGCCAGAGGATCTGAATGCGTATTTGTTCAGAGGTTACACCAATGGACAACAAATACATGAAAAGATGCTCAACATCACTGGTTATCAGGGTAATGAAAATCAAAACCAGGATGAGGTGCCACGTCACACACACTAGGATAACTGTAATTTAAAAAAAAAAAAAAAGGTAATAACAAAGATTGGTCCGGACTTAGAGAATCAGAACCCTCACACACTGCTCGTGCGGACAGAAAACAGCCCAGACAGATAACAGTCTGGCAGTTCTTTAAAAAGTTACACATGGAATTATCATTTCATTCAGCAGTGCCTCTCCTAGGTGGATACCCAAGAGAAATGAAACATATGTCCGTGCAAACATTTGTACATGAATATTTATAGCAACATTATTCATACATAATAGCCCCAAACTGAGAGCAGTCCAGGTATCTGTTAGCTGACGAACGGATATACAGAATGTGGGATATCCGTACGGTGGATCTTACTCTGCCATGGAAAGAAGTGAAGTACTGATACATGCTGGGAACACGGAAGAACCTTGAACAAGTCACAAAAGGCCCTGTATTTGTGGGGTTCCATTTATATGAAATGTCCAGAATAGGCAAGTCTGTAGAAACAGAAAGGAGGTTAGTGTTTGCCTGGGGGCGGGGAGCTAGCTATAGGTAGTGGTAACTAGCCTTGGGATAAAACTGGAAGAATGCAGTCAGAACGGAGGGAAACGTACCTCTTGTACAAACCTGTGTTTGCATACTTTCTATGGTACTCATCATAACCTTTCCTCCCTAGGTTTTATAGGAAAAACACTGAACACTAAACACACAGGAAATTATAAAGAATTTTATAGTGAATATCCAACCACAGTTAACATTAGAATATTTGTTTTATCTCATGTCTGACTGTCTGTTGATCTGTTATATGTTTTGAGACTTATCAAAATAAATTGCAGGCATCAAGTTGTTCACCATGCAGGTCATTAATAGAGCTTAATGCTTATTTCCATTTTTTTCCTTCATGCTCTTATTGGCTGTTCATGATTGCATAATGTCTGTTCCAATTATTTTTATTGTTACTCAGCTTGAAATATTTTCTAGTATCTCGTGACTTCTCAAATGATGATAACATGGTATTAAGAACAGTGGTGAAGATGAGAGTAGGTCTTTGCCTAAAATCTTTTCTCTACTTTTACACTAATTCACAATTACTTTATAGTCTGTCTGTAAGTCATGTCAGAATTACCAGATTATACTTGGATTTTTTGAATTTTCACTTTTGGATTTACCAAAATCATTGGTATCTATTTATATACCCCAGAATGAGAATTCTCAGATTTCTTTCGCTATCTTACGGATGACTGGAAATGGACATCTGGGATGTTGCTGCTAAGAATACCAGTTACCCATGAGGGCCATTGGGGTTTATAGCTGGGGGCAGCAGGTTCTTTCTCACCCAGCAGCCCCAGAAGCTTCAGAGAGAGGGTTTGTTTGGCAGCAAAAGCTTCAAAATCTTTTGAGAATCCCCAGTCTAAAATTTGAGTGTTCACTTCTGAGTTGACCCGAAAGTTATTTATTGAATTTCTTGGTTTGGAAAGATGTGTAATATTGGATTCTGTTCTGACTCTATTCCATATTACCGAAGTGTTAATATTTTTCAAATTGCCTGATTTTTTTCTTTTGCTATAATACTGAACAGCATTTCATTATCTTAAGATGAGGAGGTTGGTTCTGATGTTTTGGTATTTCTAAAACTAAGTAGAAACCACATTTGTTATATAATATGCTTTCTTCAAAAGTTTCATTTCTTTCTGTATACATATAGTACTCTCTCAGAATACTCTGTACTAGACAGTTCTGATGTCTGTAGAAATTATACATTTGTGAAACATTCAAAAAAGAATGCAGTGTTAAAGTAGACATTTGTTAGCCCAGTCTCTACTCACCCTACTTCCTCTTGAATCCAGGTATTTTGAACAATTGTAGTCAACTTCAATTCCATTTACCTGGATTTTAATAGTGACCTTCTAGCATCACTCTTTTTGGATTAAGAAAAATTCTTTTAAGGTTTCCAGCATGCACTCCTCCTCACATTGATTTAAGGCTCTTTAAAGCTTAATTATTTAAGGTTTTAAACCTCAGTATTAATTTTAAATCTAATGAATTACTAGTAGTTAAATAAAATAAAATTTAATATTTAAGTTAAAAATATAGAGGCTATGCTTACTTTTTTAAAAAAAAAATACAGTATGCTTGCTGTTTTCATTTTATGAAAAAAAAATTAAGACTGTCCACAGGAAATTTCACACCTGAACATGTTTCTGTCATAATTTGAATCCATGCATCTCTCACAATGTGGAAGAAGTGATGAATATGTTAGGTAACATAAGAAAGACAAAGAGGAAAAGCAATCACAGTAAATTCATTCCTTCCACTGAAGTCTTCCTCCTCCCCTATTCCTGCTTCCAAAGACCAGGAGGCATTTTGGGAAAACACCGGTAGGAGTATTATTTCATTATATAAACTATGTCATTACGTAACTTGAATATAGTCCTCTTAGACAACAAACAGGCAAAACGAATGCTTTTTTAGGTTAAGATTGAGGCTTTGAGGAAGCAGCACATCCGTTTTCAGTAATTTTTCCTCATTATTTGTTCTTAGAATAAATAAGTCATTTCTCTCCACGCAAGAGGGAAGATTCTGTCGTCTTATTGATAGTAGAAGGTAACAGGATAATCACAGTAATGATTATCTGATGTCATTTTAGAGTTAGCAAGAGCAGATTATCTGTGACCCAGATAAAGTAACTAGAAATTAAGTTTAAAAAACAGTGGATTTCTAATCTCGTTTCCAAGGTTTAAAGATTGCAACACAACCAGATGCTTCTGTGGAATAGGCTAATCTTCAACCCAGATTTAAAGGATTACCTTTGATTATTTTTAGATTTCATTTTAGACGTAGGTTTAAATATATGTTTGTGCCTTTTTACTAAACTCAGTATTGAAGTTAAAATGTTTTCAAAGCAATCTGCTTTGACGCATTCTCTATTTAGGGAACAGATTATTCTAATTACTCCTTACTTTGCCTGTTTAGCCTTTTTCTGTTTCCGAATGAAATGGATAGTGATGTTGTTATTCACGTAATTGATGTTGTCAGAATCTCTTATTGAGCAGTCGTCCACACACAGCCAAGAATGATGTCCGTTCTGATGCGCGCTGATACTAATAGTGCTGGGTGATGGCATTAGTCATGTTTGCAGTCCCTGGGCTTGGGGAGAGTTCGTCAGGAAGCGCTGTAACAGCTGGTCCAGCGCCTTCTGGTGGAGTTCTGACAGGGAGCCATTGTGTACCATGACACTGCTCTGACAGTTTATCTCAATTTTGTATACAAGCATTTTTGTTTTCTGGGCACCGTGGAGTTGATATAATAGCTTAAGCTTTTGGTGGTATCTCTGGAGCAGAGAGAGCTTTTCTCAGTTGTGGTGAGGTTGAGGGTAGGGTGCGGCATATTTAGCTGTGGTTTTGTGCTTTAAATTCTCAAAGAAAAAATGGAACTTTTGCCTTTGCTCTCACAGGTACTATTGT